GTATTTCTATGGGGTCCGTTGTGATTTTTCCTTTCTCGTTTCTGATTCTGTTGGTGTGTGTTGATTCTCTTTTTCTCTTAATAAGTCTGGCTATGGGCTTATCTATTTTGTTTATTTTCTCAAAGAACCACCTCTTGGTTTTATTGATTTTTTCTATTGTTTTATTCTTCTCAATTTTATTTATTTCTTCTCTGATCTTTATTATCTCCCTCCTTCTTCTGATTTTAGGCCTCATTTGTTCTTTCTCCAATTTCGATAATTGTGATGTTAGGCTATTGGGATTGTTCTTCCTTCTTTAAATATGCCTGGATTGCTATATACTTTCCTCTTAAGACTGCTTTCACTGTGTCCCACAGAAGTTGGGCTTTGTGTTGTTGTCATTTGTTTCCATATATTGCTTTATCTCCATTTTAATTTGGTCATTGATCCATTGATTATTTAGGAACAAGTTGTTAAGCCTCCATTTGTTTGTGAGCCTTTTTGCTTTCTTTGCACAATTTATTTCTAGTTTTATACCTTTGTGGTCTGAAATGTTGGTTTGTAGGATTTCAACCTTTTTGAATTTACTGAGGCTCTTTTTGTGGCCTAGTATGTGGTCTATTCTGGAGAATGTTCCACGTGCACTTGGGAAGAATGTGTATCCTGTTGCTTTTGGATGCAGTGTTCTATAGATGTCTATTAGGTCCATCTGTTCCAGTGTGGTGTTCAGTGCATCTGTGTCCTTATTTATTTTCTGTCTGGTGGACCTGTCCTTTGGGTGAGTAGTGTGTTGAAGTTTCCTAAAATGAATGCATTGCATTCTATTTCCTCCTTTAGTTCTGTTAGTACTTGTTTCACATATGCTGGTGCTCCTGTGTTGGGTGCATATAAGTTTATAATGGTTATATCTTCTTGTTGGACCGAGCCCTTTATCATTATGTAATGTCCTTCTTTATCTCCTGTTACTTTCTTTGTTTTGAAGTCTATTTTGTCTGATACTAGTACTGCAACATCTGCTTTTTTCTCCCTGTTGTTTGCATGGAATACCTTTTTCCATCCCTTGACTTTTAGTCTGTGCATGTTTTGGGGTTTGAGGTGGGTCTCCTGTAAGCAGCATATAGATGGGTCTTGCTTTTTTATCCATTCTATTACTCTGTGTTTTTTGAATGGTGCATTCAGTCCATTTACATTTAGGGTGATTATTGAAAGATATGTACTTATTGCCATTGCAGGCTTTAGATTTGTGGTTACCAAAGGTTCAAGGTTAGCTTCTTTAGTATATTACTGCCTAACTTAACTTGCTTACTGAGCTATTATAGACACTGTCTGGTGATTCTTTATTTCTCTCCCTTCTTATTCCTCCTCCTCCATTCTTTATATATTGGGTGTTTTATTCTGTGCTCTTTTGTCTTTCCTTTAACTGCTTTTGTGGGTAGTTGATTTTATTCTTTGCCTTTGGTTAGTATTTGGTTGGTCTGCTTTCTTTGCTGATATTTTTTCTCTGGTGACATCTGTTTAGCCTTAGGAGTGCTCCCATCTAGAGCAGTCCCTCTAAAATACCCTGTAGCGTTGGTTTTTGGGAGGCAAATTCCCTCAACTTTTGCTTGTCTGGAAATTGTTTAATCCCTCCTTCATATTTAAATGATAATCATGCTGGATACAGTATTCTTGGTTCAAGGCCCTTCTGTTTCATTGCATTAAATATATCAGGCCATTCTCTTCTGCCTTGTAAGGTTTCTGTTGCAAAATCTGATGATAGCCTGATGGGTTTTCCTTTGTAGGTAACTTTTTTCCTCTCTGTAGCTGCCTTTAAAACACTGTCCTTGTTCTTGATCTTTGCCATTTTAATAATTATGTGTCTTGGTGTTGTCCTCTTTGGGTCCCTTCTTTTGGGAGTTCTGTGTACTTCCATGGTCTCCCAGTTTGGGGAAGTTTTCAGCAATTATTTCTTCAAATACACTTTCCCTTTTTCTCTCTCTTTTTCTTCTATAATGCAAATATTGTTCCATTTGGATTGGTCACACAGTTCTCTTAATATTGATTCATTCCAGGATATCCTTTTATCTCTCTCTGCATCAGCTTCTATGTGTTCCTGTTCTCTGGTTTCTATTCCATCAAGGCCTCTTGAATTTTATCCATTCTGCTTATAAGTTCTTCCAGAGATTGTTTCATTTCTGTAATCTCCTTCTGGACGTCATCCCTTACTTAGCTCTTGCATATTTCTCTGCAGCTCCATCAGCATGATTATGACCTTTATTTTGAATTCTTTTTCAGGGAGAATAGTTAGGTCTGTCGCTCCAGATTCCTTCTCAGGGGAGGATATCTGGGTTAGTCTGGTCTGTATCAAATTCTTCTGCCTTTTCATGGCGATAGAAGTAGTTGCCGGAAGCTGGCGCATGTGTCCACTGGGAGAATGTCCCTTCTTGCTGGTTTGTGGCCTTTGTCTCCTGGGAGAACAGCGACCCCTAGTGGCTTGTGCTGGGAAGCTGCACACAAACGGGGTTTCTAATTCTTGCCCGGCTGCTGTGAAAGAAGCTCTGCCCTGCTGCCTCAGGCTGCTGCTCCACTATGGCGGAGCGGCATCGGAGGGGAAATGGGCAGGAGGCTGTTTATCTCCATGAGGGTGCTCCGAGCTGTGCTGCTGCCCAGGGAGTTAGGGCGCCTGGAGTTCCCCAGGATTCCCAGCTGCTGGGCTCAGTGTCCTGGGATGTTTCTATCCTGCTGTGGGGTCCCTGTCCCTTTAAGTCTTTCAAAAAGCACCCGCTTTTCTTTGTCCCCAGGGTGCCAGCTGCGGGGACCCACTTGCAGGTTTTACTGTCCTGTTTCCCTAGTATCCAGCACCCCATGAACTGTGTGTCTACGCTCCCAGTGCAGATGGCTAGGGCTGGGTGTTTAGCAGTCCTGGGCTCCCTCTCCCTCCCCGCTCCAACTCCTCTCCTCCTGCTGGGAGCTGGGGTGAGGGGCGCTTGGGTCCCGCTGGGCCGCGGCTTGTATCTTACCCCCTTCATGAGGCACTGGGTTCTTGCAGGTGTAGATGTAGCCTGGCTGTTGTCCTGTGTCTTCTGGTCTCACTTTTAGGGATAGTTGTATTTGTCGAATTTTCAAAAATATATATGGTTTTGGGAGGAGATTTCTGCTGCTCTACTCATGTTGCCATCTTGGCTCCACCCCAGGTCAGGTCTTTTTATATTATTTAACCCTCTAGACCTAAATAGCAGGCTGCCACTTTGGATGAATCTTGGATTTAGATGAACCCTGACCTTCAGAAAGGATCAGTTAACTGGGCCACGGTTTATAGAGACCTAATGAAGATGGTTGGCTATTCTTAGAGCAGTAGAGCTAAAAAGGATTATTGCCTACAGTGATAAGCCAGTGGAATTGAATATGTTTTTTGTCAGCTGTGTTGGCCAGTAGGAACTTCATCCTAATAGAGAATAGTCAGCTTATTTGAACTGAGTTGTTCCGTTCTCTAATCCAGTGGTTTTCAAACCATAGAACCACCATGGTTCTGGAGAGTTTTAAATAACAAAAATCAGTGTCAGCTTCCCTACCCCAGACCAACTGAAACAAAATCTCCAGTGGTAGCCTGTTTTTTTTTTGACTTGGCAAGTAATTTCAGATTTCATTGTAACCTTTGGTCATTCTCACAAGATGGCCAGCATTGGTGCTGACTGTTAGAAAGCCAACAGATGATTTATGCATTGATGTGGTAGATTATAAAAATGTTCTTGGACTTTAGAGAGGTAAAATGCTTCATTAGAGGGCTTTGTTAATAACAAAAGGACAATGAAAGAAGTGAAAATTTTGGATTGTAATTAGGAGAACTGCATGAACCAAGGCACACATTTTGAGAATCGGTCTTGGTCAGCAGAATAGTGGTGTCAGTAGAGATGGCCTTGCAGGGTTTCTTACTAGAGATGAAGCAGTGAGCTAGCGGGAAGGCTGGAAATGGCCCAACACAACACAGTTAGGAGATTGCTGCAAGAACTTGTTGGGTGTCGTGTGATAAAGACCTGAGCAAGGTGTGGAAATGAGAATCCAAGGAAGGCATCTAATTTGAGAGAATGGTGAGAGCAAATTGGCAGGACTGTGACATGCAAAACATACAATTTGAAATATGCTAAAATAACTTTGGGGGCCTTAAAGAATAGTTGTCACCATTAATGGAAGTAGAAAAGAAGGTGCATTTGTTTGATGGCACAGTCACAGTTTAGTGTTCTGTGGCTGCTGGGTGGATGGGGATAATGCTAACTTGAGATGAGGTTGTTTTCTTAGACTTACACTTCAGAATTGTGAAAAACACAAGAACTGGAGTATCCTTCATTAGACAGATGAAGAGAGTGAAGTCCAGAAAAGTTGTATGACTTCGTCAGGATCACACAGGAGCTACTGGCAGAGCCTAATCCCCCCGAAGTTCTAGTCCAGGGTTCATAGAAGGTGTAAAAGGGAATGAGTAGAGGTGAGTATGGCAGAGTAAGCCTGAGGGGCCACTCCACAGAGTGACAGCAGGCAGAGCCCTGGGAGAAGCCCTGTCAGGAAGCTGTCATCACAGTGCCCTGTGTAACAAGGTGATACAGAGGCAGGAGAATCAGGGCAATGCTGGTGGGCTGGGCAGCCAGAGGAACATGGTGGCCTGAAGTCAGAAATGTGGTGAGAAAACAGAGATCTTATGAAATGTCAACAAAAACAACCATATCATTGAGATTGTCATGAACTCACTAACTATCCATCTTGTCTGTATATGTGACAGGTATTATACAAAACCATGAATCATGTGCATCTGTTGTAGGACTCACCCATGGTATAAGTATCACAAAACTAATTATTTCAATTATTTCCTAAACTCATTGTTTGTTAAAAAAAAAAAGAAAGGAAGAAAGGGGGGGTGGATTTTAGAATATATTTACCTATTATGTCTTCTTTCTAGCACATTACTTTTTAAAGAAATCTTTATGATCTTTCCCTTTTCCCTTTATCAGTCACCTGAAGAAACTGATAAGGAAAAAGTTCACCTCACTGACTCAGAAAGGAAAATGGACCCAGCTGAAGAGGATACAAATGTGTATACTGAAAAGCACTCAGACAATCTGTTTAAACGAACAGAAGTCCTGGCAGGTGAGTAGCCTGCTGGGGGCCAGGTGGGAGGGTCTTTAAATAGGCCTTTTTTTTTCTCAGTGATATTCAGAGGTTTAGGCAAAGCTTGCTGAATGTCATCTTTCTGCTAAAAGCAGTCTTGAGGGTCTCTCTCTTTGCACAATGCAGCGGGGCACGGGAGTGGCAAGAAGAGGAAAGTTAAAATTTGAATGGGTTCCGAAAAGCTGGACTGGGGGATGGCACGGTGTGCAGATCAGTCTTGTTCCCAGTCATCCTGATTTCAAAATAAACTTAAAAGTTCTTTATGGGGAGGGCTGTGGACACCAATAATGCTCAAGGTATTAAGGATGTTGTCCCTAATTGTAACTTATCTGATGACAATATTAACATCTGATTTTAAAGGAGAAGATTTGTAAGATTTAAGAACACTTAGTCCTTGAGAGGATAATCCCAAAGCCAACACTAGAAAGGAAATTTGCATGCTTTTTAAAAAAAATTTAATCGACTTAAATTTCGATTATACATATTTTGTGTTTTCATTGAAAAAGCAATTAGAAGACTAGGCTGTGAAATGTGAGTATTGAAAAGACTAAATTCTTTAGTCACAGCTAGATTTTCATACTGAGACTTTTGGGTGATATTATTAATACCTATCAAAGAAAGTATTGTTCCTTCTTGAGGAATGTCAGATTTGCATAATTACCCGGTTGCCTCATTGAATCCAGTCTTTAAATGTTTTTGGGGTTTTCAAATTAAGCCTTTTATAAAAGTGTAAATAGATTGGGTCTGACAAAGCTAATTTCTCCAACCCTTGGATCTCTTCTAAAAGTCATCTTTCTTTCGGTGTGTTTCAGCCGTCATTGCTGGTGGAGTTATCGGATTTCTCTTTGCAATTTTCCTTATTCTGCTCTTGGTGTATCGCATGAGAAAGAAGGATGAAGGAAGTTATGACCTCGGAGAACGCAAACCATCCAGTGCTGCTTATCAGAAAGCACCTACTAAGGAGTTCTATGCGTGAAACTTCCACTTAGTGTCTCTATTTATGAGATCACTGAACTTTAAAAAATAAAGCTTTTGCATAGATTAATGAAGATCTTTGTTTTTTGTTGTTCTTTTTTTTTTTCATTGAAGAGCCATTTTGGGACTTCAATGATAAAATCCCATTGTATTTAAAACTTTTCATGTATTTCTTTAGAACAACATAAAATTAAAACTTAACATCTGCAGTGTTCTGTGAATAGCAGTGGCAAAATATGTTACAAAAACTGTCAATGTTCATGGAATTGGTTTAAACGTTTATGCACAAATACAAAATAATTGTTTTTATCCTATGGTTCGAAGATGAAAGCTGTTTAATTAGTGTCAGCATGTCTCAGATTGACTTTACCAAGTTGGTCTTACTTTGTTAATTTATCTGTTTTTCCCCTCTCCTCTACTCTCCCTCCTTGTCCCATTCAATACAAAACACAAAACTCTGCCTTTGTAGTTGTTACTGTGCAATTTGTCTTCAGATAATTCAGATACTGGTAATTCAGTGCAGATGTGATTTTCAAATATGTAAACTTAACCTCCACTTTGTATAAATTTTTAAGTGTCAAGACTATCTGTTTCACAAGTGCTTTGGTTTTCGTTACCTGTAGCTTCAGGCAGATTTGCCACAGGAAATTAATGTGTAAAATTGGATTATTACCACCAAACTGTTTAGTCATATATGTCTCATCAGATCTTCTTTTGGGAGGATTTGATGTGAGTTACTGACAAGCCTCAGCAAACCCAAAGATGCTAACAGTATTTTGAGAAGTTGCTGCAGATTCCTTTGGCCACTGTATTTGTTAATTTCTTACAATTCGAAGGTACGAGTAGGGGTTTAAGGAAAAGTCAGTTTTTGTTCTTAAAAATGCATTTAAGTTGTAAACGTCTTTTTAAGCCTTTGAAGTGCCTATGATTCTATGTAATTTGTTGCAGACTGGTATTAATGAGTATATGTAACAGTTAAAAAAAGTTGGTATTTTATAAGCACAGACAATTCTAATGGTAACTTTTGTAGTCTTATGAATAGACATAAATTGTAATTTGGGAACATAAAAACTACTGAATAAATCATGTGGCCTAATATTGAAAATGTCACTGTTACAGATTTTGTACATTTTCAATCAAATGTACACCTCCCCTTTGCTGACGTCTGCTCTCAAGGATGACGTGGTTTGATTTGAGTGTTCCATAGTGTCTATAAATCAAAACCAAAGAGCTCATCGATGAGGCTGTTTATTACCAGATTTCTTCTGAATTGGCCAGAGGAAATCTGAGTGTATCATCCTGTGTGTGTTTGGGTGTAGATAATGGAATGCTGCCAGAGAGAGAATTGAGAAGTTTGCAACCTTTATAGCATAGCTGATGGCAGTATTGAGATGGATGCCTGTTTGTGCAAATAACTTTCCAGAAAACTGAAGGCGGCTTCTGCGACGCTGGCATCTAAGCTTTAGTCTTATACATTGATTTACCTTTGAAACTGTACCCCAAATCTCTCCTGAAGCTTAACCGGAGAGCTAGCTAATAAAAGAGGTACCATGGTTCACACTGTAGGGAAGGACACAGCAGAGGGGCTCTGTGCATTGAAAGGAGGGCCTCACTGCTTGGGACCAAAATTGCTGCAAAACACTGAAGCCTGACGATATGGCAATATGAGGGTGCCCTGCCTGGGTACTTCCTTCTGACTGTGTGGTTCCTCCTAGTTTACCATTACTTGCCATTGAAGTAGGAAGAAGGCAGCAAAAACAACCTTTCCAACATATAATTTACTTGTAACAAAAAGTATGAATACTTCATTTAGAGAACATTCCCTGAAATTGCCACAGAACTGATTCTTTTTTTTTAATTTAAGCAGCACTTGGAGCAGTGTTTACTTAAATTCTTAATGGCCTTAATTTTCAAATTCCTGTCCCGTCGCTTACAGACTCCATCCACCTTGGAATGATTAAAAGGAAGTGATGAGAGCACCTTTTAATGCGGCATGTCCCTCAGTTACAGAGGCTAGGAATGTAGTGGGTATATACCTCTCCCTGTGCAAGGCACAGGGAGATTCAGGTCGTACGTAGAATATATCAGATCTTGGAATGTCCACGCCAGGAAAAGGTTTCTGGCAAATATTTTGTCACTGCTGTAAAGCAAAATATTTGTTAAAGTGCCAAAATAAAGTCTGTCATGCTGAAAGTAAAAAAATCATTGTATATGACTGACATCCACTTTTCTTCAACTGTTAAGTTTTCTGCTTAGTTTTTACTTTCCTTTTCAAGATGCAACAAGTAGTACTATAAGAAGTGTTACTAATGAATACTGAGTTCAGGAAAATTTTGGTAAAATATAAACATTAAAGCCAATGTGAAAATATCCTGTTTTCTTAACCATATGTAAATGATTTCCTTTGTATAAACATGGCTTTGTGTTTGAGAGACTCGCAATATTCAGATAGTCCCATTTTCAGCTTAAAGGGGTATGTGGGATGAGCTCACATTTTTTAAAAGGTTTTAGCTGGAGGTGCATAGTGCCTGAACTTCAGGATTAGGACTGGCTTAATAAAATTGAACTGAAATTGAACAAGATTATAGAAATTGCCATCTATTAATGTTAAAAGTTGATAGTTTGGATAAATGTTTAGTGAATTGGTATTTTGAGAATGCATTTAATTTTTGCAAATAAGGCAAAATGTACTTGCTTGTTGAGGATGTGGTGTATTTGTATTGGGTCCAGGAGACTAAACTAAGTAAGTGGAACATTATTAACTCACTTTGGTTGCCCTAAAGAACTAAAACATCCTACAAAGGGTGCTGGGTCCTACAAGAATAGGTACAATAATAACTTCATAGTTTGGGGGAGCTTGTTTCTTCAATATCTTAAACATTATGAAACCTTAAGGAAAATTCTTAAGAGCAAAAACATAATACCTAAAAATACTGCAGGGTTAATTTTATAATCACAATCATTTTTACTGCTTTATTATAATTATTGGGTGGTAGAAAAAATATTTTTAAATACATTGTTTAAGAAGGCAATGACTTGAAGCAACACAATCTCCACCTTGAGTTTCTAAATTCTAATCCTCTGGCAGACAACAGCAAAACCCTAAGAGGTTTCCAATTAAAGTTAAGCCAGATGAGAAATGGAGTAGTATGAATTGAGTAATCACTAAGGTTTTTCCCAGGGCTGATATTTTATGACAACAGTGAAATTTGAGATTTAGTTTACACAGAAAACTTTAAAAAGGATAGAACTGTCTGATGTTTAGTGGTGAAGCCAATATCAGAATGAATTTTGTCTCCTGCTCTGGGTGGCTTCACTCATAATTTATGGTTCTAAGATTTCATTCCTTTTTGTTTATCTGTTGCATATGGTCTGTATCAAGGCCTTTTCTGACTAAGGAATCATGGTGGCTTTGGAGCAACTTGGTTTCCTGTGAATTAGCTGGAAGGGCATATGTAAACTAGCAATAGTTCTAACCCACAGATAGCAGAATGAAGCCTTAGGCTTTCATGCTTCAGATGTGAATGCAAGACTCATTCATTCCAGTTGCCTTGGCAAAATTATGTTCAAGGAACAAATACTGGTATTTGCAAAAGGCATCAAGAGGTTTAACATACAAATAGTTGCCTATTGACTGTGCACTGGGCATCTTCTAGCAGCTGGGGGTAGAGTGGTGAACTAGGTAGACAGAGGCCCTGCTCAGAAGAGGTTTAGTTATGGATACATAGTGGAAACAAAATTAGCAAGTGGAAAGTATTGGTGGCAATTTCTATGATGAATGTAATGCAGGCTGATGTAAGGGACTGAAGGACTGTATCAACCCAGATAGGCTAGGAATGCAGCAATACAATCTCAAAGTCTCAGCAACTTAAAACAGCAGAGTCTTGCTTCTTGCTCATGCTGCATGTCCATGGGTTGACAGAGAGTTCTGCTCTGAATAATTGTCATCCTCAGCCCAGGTGTCAGGCCAGTGGAGTAGTCATTGTCTGGAACACCAACAGTCACTGTGGTAAAAAGGAAAATTGTGGTGAAACACACAGTGGCTCTTAAGGCTGCCACCAGTAGTGACATATGTCACTTGCATACACATTTCATTGCCCAAAGCAAGTCATGTGGCTACATGTAACTTCCAACTTGCAGGGAAGTGCACTCCCACTTTGTGGCAGTCAAGAAAGAGATGGGGTATTTGTGAACAGCTATAGTGACTACAGCCTGGCCAGGAAGGATCTCAGAGGGTAAGGCCCAATTGATGCAGAGCCAGTTGAACTAAAGTCAAGAGAAGCATTCCAGGGTGTGGGAAGCCCAGGAGAGGATAGGAGGTCGGCATGTTGGAGGAGCAGTGAGAATGCCGTTTCTTCCACTTTTGTCCCCTTTTATTTTATTCCCCACAAGTAGGCTAGGCTGATCTCTTTATGATATAAGTTACGTAATATGTAAATGGTCCTGTAGCACTTAGCATAAGATCCTGACTCCTTCCCCTTGCCCTCAAGATCTTCGGGAACTGGCCCCTAGACGATGCATTATAAGGAGTCACGGGCGGGCAACACAGCCAGTTAGGAAGTCATTTTTGATACTTAGTGGGTAAATGATGGTGACTTGGCCTACAGTGGTAATAGTGGAGATCGAGAAGATGAGAGGAATTGTTTTGGGAGGTAGAATAAGGTGTTGCTAGAAGGTTGGGGAGGAGTAGAGGGTTAAGGAAAAGGAATCAAAGATGATAGCCTCATTTTTGGCTAAGCTGGGTGAGTTATGTTCTGAGAAGGAATATCAGAGGGATATTATTAATAAAGTAAGAGTTCCTTTTGGGCCATGTTAAGTTAAAGAGAACTAGCAGATACACACATTAGGTGTCAGGTGAAGAGCTGAATGTAAGAACCTGGAGCTCAGAGAAGAGGTCTGGAGATGTTAGTAGGGGTGGTGTCTGTCGTCATCCTGTTGGCGCTCCGACTCCTCTACTTCCCTTCCCCGCTCTGCTCTGTGTGGGAGTTGGAGGTGGGGAGAGCAATGACCTGTGCAAACTCCATTTCCCAACCTTCCTTGCCAATTGGCTTCTGGAAAAGTTTGACCAATGGAAGGCACTGGCAGAAGACGTAAAGGTCAGGAGGAAGGGAAAGCCGGAGTACTTTGCGCTCAGCCTGCTTTGGGTACCATCTGTACCAAAAATGAATCTCCTCTGTGGTTTGAATTTCCACTGAGCCACCTTCCTCACGCTCCCAGCTCCTACTGTTCGTGAATGCTCATAAGCCCCCGTTTCCCCTGCTGTCTCTCCAGCCCACAGGAGGGAGAGGCTTCCTGCTGCTGCTATGCTCTGGGTTCTTACTCTCCCCAGTTTGCCCTTACAGCTTTTCCAACGTCTTTTGTAACTGAGCCCTGGATTAAATTCCCTCTCTTGCTTTACCCAGTGTGGGTTCTGTTTTCTTTCCTGGACCCCAGCTGATAACATAGGAGCAACATAGGAGTACACAGTACATAGATGGCATTGAAAGCTATGGGACTAGATGAGATCATCTAGAGAGGTAAGTACACAGAGGAAGGTGTCCCTCGGTCTGTCTTCTAGCACAGCTGATCTTTTCAGATGAACCACTGCCAGGCTCACTCTAGTGCTGATCATACGGCTGGATTTTCCTTTGGCAAAAGCTTAGCAGGAAACACAATCTTTAATTGCAAGAGGGTAAAAGTCTCCATAATGCCTCATAGCTCACTTTTGAACAATTTAATAAGCGTGTTAAGGTATCCACATTACCACGTCATTAATAATATATAATATGAACTGTTTTTAAGTTTGAAAAAAGTAATGGGGCAGAGGAGTAAGAACTCAAATATTTCTTGAATATTTGAATATTCAAGAAATACTTCTATTGTATGTTTACAATGGGAGAATATCAGCAAACAAAATAGTAATTCTCCCATTTATTGCTTGTCCTGGATCATTGAAAGCAGGGTTTTGGCTTCCTTAATTACATCCTGCTGAGGTAGATACCAGAGTAAGCTTGTATTTCCTTTGTCCAGATCAATTGCAGTGAAGAGAAGTAAAGATGGTACAAAATGTAGATTTACTTGGCTCCGTGTCAGACACAGAACTTGCGGGTCATGGAAGTTTCTTTTTCTGATAGCCCCACATCTCGGTCCTGTCCTTTTTGTAGTACCTTTTACTCCTTAGCTCTTTTTTTTCATATATTAAATAAAGAGAATTCCCACGACCTTGGCTTGTGGGAATTCAGTGAGGCGCATCAGTGAGGTCATGCACTTATTATGGTATCTGGCATCCAGTAGACCCTCAAATGCAGGAAAATAAGTTCATTCCTCCACACATGTTTCCCGGGCACTCATTATGTACCAGGCATAGTTCCAAGCACTGGGAATATAGGAGCCAACAAAATGAAGTTTCTACTCTTAAGGAACTTATATTCAAATGGGAAGAGACAGATAATAAATATGTAATATATCAAAAAGAAGGTGACATTTGAGCAGAGGCTTGAAGATGGTGAGGGATTGAGCCATGGTGGGTTGAAGAGAAGAGGTTGGGGAACTTTTCAGGCTGAAGGACTAGCAAGTGACAAGGCCTTGAGTGTGGCCGAGAAGCAAGTGAACTAGAGATGAGTGATGGGCAGTCAGTGAAGGATCCATGGGCCGAGGTCCATGTAATGACCTTGGAGAGCTATTGCAGGACTTTGAGCCAGAGTGACATTATGACCTGTGCTTACCAGTTTATTCTCAAACCCTAATAGCCTTAGAATCACCAGGAGCCCTTGTTGTTCACAGATTTCTGGGCCCCACCTCCAGAGTTTCTAATTCTCTCGGTGGGTACAACCTGAGCATTTGCATTTCCAGCCTCCCCAGGGACAGCTACTGCTAGCGCAGGGACCCAGCTTTGAGAATCATTGCTTCAGAGGCATTGCTTTGATTGTCCTGCTGAGAATGGATTGGCTGTGGGTGGTGGGCGAGGGCAATGGCGCAAGCAGGAAGACGAGTGAGGCTGTAGTAGTACCTCGGGAATAGTCATCCGTCATGGATGGAAGTAGTGAGAAGTGATGGGATTCCTGAGAGACAGAGGTCACACAGTCTGGAAATACATGTGAATGTATAATAAATGGCTTAATGACATTATACTATAATATCTAATGATATGACCCAAGTTTCCAGACTTCACGGCCACCCCCTGTTTTGAAGGTGTAGCCAATCGGAACTGCTAACAAACCCAG